ACGTCCAATGAGATGATCCCTAAGGTACATGCTACTCCTGCTGGTCATCATGTTCACTGATTCTGTGGGTCTTGTTTGGGTCAAGGTATGAGCCTGGGCCTGCTCCTCCAACCTGGGAAGAGGTAGCATTGCTCCATTTGAGCAGAGGACACCAGATACCACATTGGAGCTGAAGGAGGGACTCAGAACATGGGAGGCTGATGCAGTTACAGAGAAGCAGTCACTTCCAAGTAAGCCCTCCAAAAATACTGGGTTGAGGAGAGCAAAGGAGGGAGGTACCAAAAGGCATCAGCCATGAGCTGAGACTGGTCAGCTGTTTTCCACACTCTTTGCTTTTTCTCCTGGGCTGAATTACATTTCCCATCTTCCCTTGCACTTGGATGTGGTCATGTGATTGAGTTCTAGCCAATGACATTTGGGAAAGTCACAACTTCCTGGTCATTAAATCTTCCAAAAGACCTTCTTCCCTCTCTCCACCTGCCTGCAGGATGTCGTTGCCCAGAGCAACCTTGGATGCTGTGGCAGAGCCCCACAGCACGAGTGTCTCAATCTCTGAGGGACTGTGGAACATAGCACACCCCCTCCAGTCAGTTGGACTAAGGATCAAATAAACTTCTGTAGTATTAAGCTATTATCTGTTATTGTGGGTTGTGTAGTAAGTCTACCCTAAGTAACACAGGTAAAGGATAGAATGGGGATTTCTGGGCTGGAGGGGGCCTCTGATTAGCTTGGACATCCATTTCTGTCAGTTCTTGTGGCTCTAATTCTGTGAGTTACGGACGCTGCACTTTGAGAAACCATGTCACAGAAAGCAGACTGCCACAGAAGTGTACCCAGGATGGCTGCAAAGCTCAGTCTGAGCCAGAGTTTCCTGGGGCTAAGAATAAACCAGAGACATAGAGGTTCTGGCACAAGGAGCCAGTGCTGGGGAGTGCTGGCTCTGGGCTGGCCGAGCGGGGAGCGCAGAACTGGGCCAGGGGTCAGTGGGTGGGGCCGGGCAAAGGCCTCAGGACCTGGTGACTCCACATGTCTGGGAACATCAATTTCCTCGGGAGCCCATCTCAGGCAGATGGACAGAGGGTTAAGCAGCTAGGCAGATTGTCCAGCAAAGCCATGAGTGATTTCCATGGCCACAAGAGCAGACTTCCCTGCTTCCAGAGCTTTCCACAGAGGCCAGGAAGGAGAGGCCCTCATGAGCCCAAAGTTCTCTTGAAGGAGACTCAAGGGTCTTGTGTCTCATAGTTCCAGAGGAGTGATGAGGCTGGTGACAGCTGAGACCATCAGTGGCAGGACTCTCAGGGAGAAAACACATGGTCTTAGTACTGAAAGAAAGGTGGGCATGTAGTTGCATGAGAAGATTACATGAGCTGAAGCTTGGACAGACTAGGGAAGGACACAGATTATCCCTCATGCTGCCAAGAGGGAGAGGTGATGTTCAGCCAGTGCCCACCTGCAGGAATGAACCTGGTAGTTTACAGCTATGTCTACTATGACTGGTATCTGGACAGCGTTTTCAGTATCGCTCACATCAGATGTCTCACCTTGGTCTCCCTGGGGTCAGGGGCAGTGGTGGCCATTGTCCTGCTTATTTACTGGGGGCTTCAGTCCGGACTATGGCCAGAGGTAGCCCGTTTGACCTCTGCTCCGTGCTATATGCTCCCATCCAGCTTTCCCAGCCAATCAATTGCTGTTCAGTTGACCCTAACTCATGGTGACTCCTGTGTGTGAGCAGAATTCTGCTTCATGGAGTTTTCAATGGCTGATTTTTTGGAACGAGATCACCAGACCTTTCTTTCAAGGTGCCCATGGGTGGACTCAAACCTCCAACCTTTCAGTCAGCAGCCTAGTGCATCAAGCGTTTGCACCACCCAGAGACCCCTTACCAGCCATAAAGCTCACATTTTGATACTCAGGCACCAATACCCATTTCTTCATTATTTCAGAATGTGGAAGCAGAATTAGTGGGCTTCCTAGAAAGCCCACCAAACAGCTTAAGGCTGTTCTGTTCTGAAGACAGGCCTGGCTTTCTCAGCTTCCCAGACACCCACACCTGGGAGGGAAGCTTGTCTGTCTTTTGGCCACTCATGAAAAGACACCTCAAGCTACCACCCAAGAGTCTAAAACAAGCCAGTGATACTGGGAGGTGGCCAGTGACCCAGATCAAAGCCAGAGAAGTTTCCTCCAGAGAAACCTGACTGACCAGCATAGATCCAAACACTTTCCTTCCCTTCTACCCCCATTTCTCCCAGAGAGTCCCCAGAACCAGGGACATTGTTTATCCTAAATGTCCACCAAGGCTTAAAGGGTCTCCAGGAAGAAAACATTTTTTAAATGTTTTATTTAATTAAAAAAAAAAAAAAAAAAAAGACAGAACTAACAACCCAAAACCAGTAGTAGGTACAGGATTCACACGGTGCTCAACTGGCAAAACACAGGGGCTGGAGAGAGCCATGGGTCGGGAGAAAGGTGAGAAGGCAGGTACAGACCACCACGTTCCCCCCACGGGTGAAAGGCCTGAGGCTGACGGCAGGCAGCAGGGAGTCAGCTGCGCTCCCTTGTTCCGGGGCAAGCCTAGGCTGAGATGCAACGAGAAGGAGAGGTGAATGCAGGGGCAAGGGTCTTGCAGAGATTGGGATGGCCACGGGAGGGAAGACTGAAGGCCCGAGGGCCCGAGGTGGTTCGGTTCCCTGCTATTCTATCCCTCTTTGTCTCTTTTCCCCCTTCTTTCTACTCTTTCCTGGTCCTCAGAGTAGGTCCTGTTTTCTCTGCCTGGGGCTGGGCAAGAGGTAGGATTCATTGGAACACAGCTTTCTCTCTGATGTTCTAGAACCTTCTGGGGCAGTGAGTGAGGAGGTGGCCTACCTGGAAGAAACAGCAAGGCTGCCTCACTTTTTGGGAAGGAACAGAAGAGAAGTCTTGGGGCCTGGGTGAGTACTGGGTCTACAGCCTGCATTCTCTCCTTCAGCCTCGATATCCACTGCCATTGACTTGGTTCTGACTCACAGCAAGCCCATGTGTGTCAGAGGAGAACTGTGCTCCACAGGGTTGACAGTGGCTGTGACCTTTCTGAAGTAGATGACTAGGCTTTTCTTTCATGGTACCAAGATGGACTGGAACGACCAACCTTTGGGTTAATAGCCGAGTGCAACCCATTTGTGTCAGCCAGGGACCTTCAGCCTGGATGAGATGGTATCATGGCACTGGTGGTGGTGGTGGAGGAGGTGCGGAGGGCTGGGGAAAGAGGGGAAGAGGTTGGCCTACAGCAAGGGCAGTGACAGGGATGGACCCTGACACTTCAGCCTTCTATGCTGTGCATGCTTGGAGACACCACCATACAAAACCAACCTCAACAGGAGGAAGGGGTTTTGAGCAAGCACAAAACGGCCCTGGCACACCTCACCTCAGCTCACCAGCACACAGGGCAGTCCGGTGGAGGTGGGACATGGGGAGGATCTCCTGGGTGCAAAGGAGGATGGGATTGACAGTGATGTCATCACCAGACAGAATGGACCCATCTGAACTCCTAGGGCCCGATCTGCCTGTGGGCTTTGTGAGCAGGGGGCTGAGGTAAGAATTTGCTCATCGCTTCTAAGTACAACAGTTACTGGGGTCACAAATGACTGTTCAAAATTGGATTAAGAAGTCTTAAAAAGTAAGAAACCATTTATCTTTAGAAAGCACGCATTTTATATAAAAAAGGGTAAGCTCTGTGTCCAAGAGAGTTTTTCTTCTGAACCTGGACACACTTCCACTTTCTTTGCTTTAAGAGGAAAAAAAGATGGTCAGGGGGCGGGGTGGGGGAGTGAAACCCTGAAGCCACTTCGTCAGTTCCAAAGTGCTGGAGTGGGAAGCAAAGCTGGGCCTGCCCTTTCTTTCATCCAAACTTCCTCCCTTGAGTCCTTTCAGGTGGTAGCAGAATAAATTACAATATTAGGAACTGGGGGAGGTGTTACTGCTTTTTAAGTTGAGAAAAGGAATGTATCTTGCTCTCCTGGCATTTATTTGCAATAAATCCTGCTTAGTAACCACCTAGGAAATTATTATTATTATTTTTTGGTCACTCTTCATCCTCAGTTTCCCCCTTCCCCCACCCATTTTTTTTTGCACAGAGGGTCAGGCTCCTGCTGCCAAACTCCTGTCAGAGGATCCGCTCCTCCCTTCCGCTCCTGTGACAGGGCTGCTCCTCAGGCAGCCATCCTCGAGCCTGTGGAGAGGGACACACAAGAGGCCACGTGGCCCCCTTTCCTCTGACCAGAGGAATCCCCCAGACTCTCGAGTACAGTCAATGTGTCCTTTCTCTATGAGGTGGAAGCTTCCAGAAGTAGACAGAAAAGCCCGGCAGCACCCACAGCACCTGGCCTTTACCTCACACCCAGGCCTTCCAAGGTCCCCTCAAAGTAGGCCTCAATCGCCTCAGGTTGAGTCAAGCAGCCCCAGGACAGCATAAAGGCCAAAGCACCAGCTGGCTGCAGGGCTTTCTCCTCAGAATCACTGTGTTTCGACACCAGGCCACTGCCAGAGAGAGAGGAGAGAGAGGAAGATCGAGAGGCAGAGAGCGAGCTTCGGTTTCTTCAGTCCTGGTTCCAAGAACCGCAGGTTCAGAAAGCAGCTGACTCTACAGTCCAGAGGCCTTCCGGTGGCCCAGCACCCAGGCAGGGAGGGAAGGCCCTGGAATCCCATTCTTCTGGCAGGATTTGCTTCCAAGAGGAGAGAATGGCTCAATTTTGTTTTCCCAGGTTGGCCAAGGCTACGGAGCCTCAGGAAAGCTCTGGGACCTCCTGGGAGGTTCCAGAGCCGCGAGGGATCCAAACACCCTCTGTAGGATAGACTCAGCCTCTGGCTTCTGGCACCCCACCTCCAGTCTAAGCCAGCCATGACAGTGTCTGGGGATCAGGGGGTTTGGCTTCAGTAAACTGTCCATCTGAAGGAGCGTGGTCCTCCTGTTTGATGCAAACAGCCATTCTGGGAAGAGGCCGGTGTTGAGAGGAAGGGCTGGCGGCTCAGACGGGGGTGGTCCGCCGGTTGAGCATGCTGATGTGGAAGCCTTCCTTCAGGTCCTGCTGCAGAAAGTCGTGCACCTGCAGGAAGCTGGCCTCCTGGTCGGGGCTGTAGCTGGCGGCGGTGGTCACCTTGAGGGGCTCCCTGGTCAGCGTGTACATGGACAGCTCGCCCATGGGGATGGCCCCTGTGATCTTGAGGCCCACGGGCGACGCGTCCCTGGAGGGCGAGGCCTCGGTGGAGCGGGAGCTGGAGCGTGATCGCCTTCGCCGGTACCTGTAGCTTGGCATCCTGGCGTAGGGAGAAGAGGAAGACGCCTTAAGGAACTCCCGCTTGGTCTTAAACCTCAACTCTTTATTTTTCTCAATGTAAATGTTCACAGCCAGGACACCTACGGTCTCAGCCACAATGAAAGACAGGGCTCCAAAGTAGAACGACCAGCCGTAGCTGTAGTGGTTTTTCTTGTCTTCGTCTCTCTTGTCACTTGGGTCGCCCGTGTTGCTGGAAATGTACACGATGATGCCAATGATGTTGCTGAGGCCTGAAAGGGAAACGGGGTGGGGTGGGGGTGGGGAGGCAGAGGAAGTGGGGGAGGGGGAGGAGGGAGGAGGGAGAGGTTAGACCCTCAGCTGGACCAACGGGGAACAGGAGGTTGGAGGAGGGGCCTGTGGCCTTCTTCACCTTGATTTATTCCCCACCTTCTTTATTCTGGTTGTTATTTTACTTATAATTAATTACTTTTAATTGGGATAATATAGGGCAGATTCCAAAGGATGTAACACAGCTCCCGTGTCCTAGCCACCCAGTTCCCTTCCTGCAGGCACCCAGTTACCTTCTTTCTTATATCCTTCTGGAGACACACAAACACATGTGCACACACGTGCACACACATGCACACACGTGAAAGTGTACACCCATATTTCTTTTTCTCTTTCCATGCTATTCTGGCCCTTACTGTTTCTTCTGACAACACATCTGGGAGATGGTTTTGTATCAGGACGTGAAAGGCTGCGTCCGTCTTTCTAATTACACGCGCCATCCACCGTATGGGTGTCTGACTGTCCGCTATGATTTGAACTGTGTTACGTCCCAACCCCTGTACCAAGGAGCCCAGGTGGCGGAGTGGTTAACCAGTCAGCTGCCACCCTAAAGGTCGGTGGATTGCAGCCACCAGATGCTCCACAGGGAGACCTAGTGATCTGCTCCCATAAAGATCACACTGCCTTGGAAACCCCATGGGGCAGTTCTACTCTATCCCAGAGGGTCACTATGAGCTGGAATCAATGGCATTGGGTGACCCCTGTATCTGTGAACATGGCCTGGGTTGGAGATAAGATCTTTGAAGATGTGAGTTAACATGAGGTCATACTGGGGGTGTGTGTTGTGATCCTAAACCGTCATGAGTGTGTCCTTAAGAAAGAGGAGAAGAGACACAGGAGGAAGTTCACCATGGACTTGGAGGCTGACAGCCCTTGGCACCTGGAGCACCTAACACAGTCTGGGTTAATGTGTGGTGTTGGCTAGTATAATTATTCTTTCCTTTCCTTGGGAAAACAAACCCCAGGACAGTATTCAAATGTCACAGCAGGGACTTCCTTAATGGCTCACACCTTGAGAAATCTGATGGCTTATTAAAGGAGGCGGGTGGAGAGGGGAAGAGGAAGAAGGAGAGAGAGTGGGGTGTGTCCCTGCCCGCTGCCCTCTGCTCGGCCCCTCTGCCCTGGTCTGGCATCACTGACCCCTGCACTGGGCTGAGGGGAAGAGGAGGGGAGGATGCTGGGAAGCTGGTGAGGTGGATGGTTCCTGCTTCTTGACAAGTGGAGAACGAGAGCAGGAGCTGCTGAAGGAGACCCTGAACACAGGCGTCCCTTAGCAACACACACCCAGAATACATACACACACACCACACTCCTCAGACACACACTCCACACTCCTCAGACAAACACACAGCACACGTACACACACACTGCTCCTCAGACATACACACTGCACACACATCACACTCCTCAAACACATACATGACCCACATACACACACACACAACTCCTCAGACACACTGCACACACACACTACACTCCTCAGACATACACACAACACACATACACACACACAACTTCTCAGACACATACACACTACACATACCACACTGCTCAGACACATACATTACCCACATACACACACAACTCCTCAGACATACACACTGCACACACACACTACAATCCTCAGACACATACATACCCACACAGAAACACACACACTTAACTCCTTAGACACATATACTACCCATATACACAGACACACACAGACATACATACTATACACATAACACACCACACTCCTCAGACACATATTACACACACACAAACTCCTCAGACACATACACCACACATGTACACACGCATCACTTCTCAGATACAAACACCACACATGTACACATGCATCATACTCCTTAGACACATACACTACACACATACATACACACACACAAGTTCTCAGACACACAATACACATGTACACATGCATCATACTCCTCAGACACACACATTACACACATCCAGACACACCCAGACACACACACATCAATATGCACATCTATTCATTGGTGTAGGAGAGAGAATACAGACCTGGGACTAGGAGCCTGACTCTCTGACTGGCTATGAGATTCTGAGCCAGACCTTTGAGTTCTTTGTCCCTCAATTCCACAGTGGGAACAGAAGTCATGTCCCTTTCCAAGAGAATCCACAGGGACAAGACAAGATGGTGACGAGAATCATTTATAGGGACCTGGGGCTCTGGTAGCATAGTGGCTAAGACACTTGCCTGCTAACCAGACGGCTGGCGGTTCAAACCCACCAGCCACTCCTCGGAAGGAAGGTTGGGCAATCCTACTTCCGTAGTGATACTGCCTCGGAAACCCAAGGAGGGGTCGCTATGAGTCGGGTTTGACTCGACGGCACATAACAACAACAACAACAACAGGGGGGCTGGGCACTGTGCTAGGCCCTTTGCCTGACCCCAGCAAGGGCGGTACCATCACCACCATGACTGGCATTATCTTTATGGCCACCATGGGGATTCTCGCACCATTTCAGGCTGAGGAGACCTGGCACAGAGAGGTGAGGTAACTTGCCTGGCCAGCGGGGAGCAGAGCCTGGCCTGGAGCTTAGGCTGGCCTCCTCAGACCAGAGCAGTTCCCCTCACCAGTCTGGTGCAAGAAAAAAAGACGCTTAGAAAGCAAAAACTCTGGTGGGAAGGGACAAGGAGCTGTGATAAGAACTGAAGAAACAATTGCTGAGCTTTGAAATTTATTTTGCATTTATTTACTGGAATGAGGCCTAAGAAGTCATGTGGCTCCTGCCCTTCCTGACAGAGATCCCTGTTGTACTTTTATCTGAACACCACGTGTGCGGCCAGAACCTTCAGGGTGTATCTAGCTGAGTGCCAACATCTCAATGATCCTTCCAGAGTTAAAACTTTGTCCCGGCAGTTGTTCCCCTCCATACTCTCCCAGCAATTCAGGCACCTTGTTCCTATACTGGACTGTGTACCGACTGGCTGAGAGCCACCAACTGGACACTTACCAGCTGTGAGCCCACCTCTGCCTCAGATTTTTGTCACGTCTGCAGTCACAAGCCACACATTTAATGTCTCTGCTGAAGGTCAGAGGGGTTGACAGCGCTCAACCGCTGTGCAGTGGTTAGCCATGCAGTAAGGTCCCTGGGTAGCATAAGTGGTTTGTGCTCGACTGCTAACCTAAAGGTTGGTGGTTTGAACCCACCCTACGGTGATCTGCTCCCATATAGATTACAGCCTAGAAACCCTATGGGGCAGTTCTACTCTGTCACGTGGGGTCACCATGAGTCGGAATCAACACGACAGCAATGGGTTTCGCTTTTGGTTTTCAGGCACATGGTATGTTAATAGGAGCCCTGATGGTGGTTAAAAGCTGAGCTACTAACCAGAAGGTCAGCAGTTCAGACCCACCAGCCACTTTGTGGGAGAAAGATGAAGCAGTCTGCTTCCATAAAGATTACAGTCTTGGAAGCCCTATGGGGCAGTTCTGTTCTGTGTTACAGGGTCGTTATGAGCCAGAGAGTCAACTCTATAACTATGGGTTTGGTTTTTGGTTGGTTATGTTACTGGGATTCATACTTCTATGGGCAAATTCTCCTGGGTTGTGCTTTTGGGGAGCAGTGGGGTGGCTCTGAAGGATGTTTGGCCCTCCTCTCAGGGTGGTTGGGGTAGTCAGGATGGGCAGGCTCTACTGAGCCCCTTGCTCTGCCCCGGGCACATTAGACTTTGTTTCTTACAGAGAAGAACCTCCAAGCCTGGCTAGGAAAAGGACCACGGCTTCAAAGACATCCCCACTGCCCCTCAGAAGTGTTACTCAGGAAAGCCCACAAAAGGATGGATCTAAGTAATGCATGACATGTTTCTAATTCATATTCACTCAGTACAGTGGCTAAGTGCTTGGCTGCTAACCAAAAGACCGGTGGTTCAAATCCACTAGCTGCTCCATGGGAGCAAGATGTGACAATCTGCTTCGGTAAAGATTGCTGCCCTACAGGGCAGTTCTACTCTGTCCTACAGGGTCACTATGAGTTGGAATTGACTCAGTGACAACTGCTTTGTTGTTGTTGTTGTTTTCTGGCCCCTAATGAGGGCTCTGTCCTCTGCAGGGAACATCTGTCCTGCACCCTTTTGCCCTGTCTTTACCGGGCCACTCCTTCGAGCCTTGGCCTCATATGACTCCCCCCAGTACTTCCCCAATTCCCCAATTCAGTCAGACTCCTCTGTTACAAGTGTACAAGGCACCTGGCATTCCTTCTTTGGGGCACTCTGCATACCTGGACTTTTCAAGTTAATTAACCAACTAGTTGCTGTGGAATAGACTCTCACTGACAGTGACCACATGTGTGTCCAAGGGGAACTGTACTCCATAGGGTTTTGTTTTGTCTGTTTTGAATTGGGACTGTATTTTTTTATTTTGGTGAAAATACACAGTCATAAGGCATTTCAACAATTTCTACATGCACAACTCAGTGACAATGAGACTCAATTACACTCTTCAAGTTGTGCAAATATTCTTGCCATCCTCCTCCAAATTGTCCCACCATCACTGACTAACACTCACTGCTCCCTAAGTTTCTCCTCTAACCTTTTGAGTTGCTGTTGTCAATCTGGTCTTACACAGATAAGTCTTTAAAAAAGCACAATGGTCAAACCGGACAGACTTTACTTATTAAGGTAAACTGTTTTTTTGGTTCAAAGAAGACTTCAGAGGATAGTTCTGGTTTAAAATTTAAAGATAATCTCAGAGCACTAGTTTCAGGGGTTCATCTAGCTTCAGTGGCTCAAGAAAGTCTGGATTCCATGAGAATTTTTAGAGTCTGTTCCACATTCTTCTCCCTTTTGATCAAGATTCTTCTATAGAACTTTGGATCAAAACAATCAGTAATGATAGGCTCCATAGGGTTTTCAATGGCTGATTTTTTCAGAAGTAGCTTGCCAGGACTTTCTTCCAAGAAGCCTCTGGTTGGACTCAAACCTCCAACCTTTGGGTTAGCAGTGGAGGGTTTAAAGTGGTCATACCACCCAGGACTCCTGGAGTTAATTGTGCATGGTGATTTTACAGGGTATGCACTCTCTGGCAGTGGGGACCACATTGCGCACTACCCCATGTCCCCAGCCCCTGGCCCAGAGCTAGCACGTAGAGGGGACAGCCAGAGTGAGCAGGCTTACCTGCAGCCACAAAGAGGATGCCGGCACTGAGGACAATGTTGTTCTTGCGGCTGTAGATCCTCCCAGCACCGATGCAGAGTCCCCCAAGCAGGAGAAGGATGGTGCTGAGGATGGGGAAGACACTGGAGGCACGCACGATGCCTAGGCCGGGCAGGAGACAAAGGCAGAGGGCATTGAGGCTGGCTGCCCCCGTGGGCCTGCAGCTCACGGCCCTTCCCCTGGATTTGAAGACCTGGAGATGTGTGGAGGGGCAGGATCCAGGGTGGGGCGGGGCAGCTGGGGCCCATGCAAGTGAGGCTCTGGGCCTGCTGTTTACTCTCCCCAGGGCCAAATGGAGGAACTACATTTGCCCACATCTGCACACATCTCACTTGGGCTCCCCTAGGTATGGGCTGTACTCCTGCCACATCAGAAGGGAGAAGAGAGCCCCTTGGGGGTGCCCAGGAGGCCATGATAGCAGTCATGAGGAGCCTGGACTGCATCAACTCACATGACACAGCCCACAATGACCTTTGGTGGCCACTGTCTCTAAAAGCTTCCGAAGGGCTGAGAACCGTCACCCATGAGAGGAACCCTGATCAGTGGCTGAAGGCACAGGCTTTGGCATTGGATGGGTCTGGGTGAGTCCGTGCCCCATCACGTGCTGGCTGTGTGACCTTAGTTAAGCCACTTCACCTCTCTACGAGTCAGTCTCATCATCTGTGAAATGCGGTTCATAATGGCACCTACTTCCTATGGTTGGGTTTGTATGTATAAGATACTTAGTACAGAACCTGGCCATAGTACGTGCTTCATAAGTGACAGCCTGTAGACCATCATTGTCTTCATCATCATCTCCATCCCCAGGATACCATGACGATGTGGAAGCTCAGGACGCACTGGTCATCACAGAGGAGGAGGCAGCTGGGAAGGATGGGGTGCCCATGGCCCAGGTGTCCAACAGACCTACATTTAACCCTTGCTTTGCCACATACCAGCTAGGTGACCAGAAACGGGTAACCCCCATGGCCACTTTGATTCCTATTTTCATGACTTGGAGATATTAGTATCTCCCTGTAGGGCTTTGAATTATGTCCCCCAAAAAGATATGTCCAAATCTTAACCCCTTGTACCTGTGAATGGGACCTACTTGGAAGAAGGGTCTTGGCAAATATAGTCAAGTGAAGGATCTCAAGATGAGATCATCCTGGATGAACCAGGAGGACCCTAAACCCAATGACAAGTGCCCTTGGAAGAGAAAGGCTGTGTAGATTTGAGACAGGCAGAAGAGGAGACAAGGACAGAAAGGAGAAGGTGCTGTACGAGGAGTGATGCCACAAGCCACAGAATGCCAGCAGCCACCGGAAGCTGGAAGAGGCAGGAAGGGTGCTCCCTGAGAGCCCCTGAGGGGAGCACAGCCCCGCCGACACCCTGCTTTCAGACTTCTGGCCTTCAAAGCTGTGAGAGAATACATTCTACTGCTTCAAGCCACCAAGTTTGTGGTCATTTATTATGCAGCCCTGTTGTTAGTTGTTGTCAGACTGGTCCCAACTCATGGTGATTGTCTTAGTAATAAAGTGCTGCTTTAACAGAAATACCACAAGTGGTTTGCTTTTTAAAAAAAAATTCATTCTCTTATGTTGTAGGAGGCTAGAAGTCTCAAGGCAGGGCCCCAGCTTTCTCTCTCTGTGACTCCTGGCTCTAGGACGTTCTCAGCACAGGGACCCAGGTCCAAATGACACGCTCCACCTCCCCTCTTCCTTCTTGATGATACTGAGTTCCCTACTCTCTACTCACTTCTCTCTCCTTTTCTTTTCTAAGATAAAAGGTGAAGCAGGCCATACCCCAGAGAAACTCCAGAGTAAGGTTACTGCATCCCACCCAAATCCCCTGACAACTGACTGGCTGATCTCATCATGGGGACAATTGCATCATCATATAACAAATTACACATTACATAACTATCAAACATCTGGGAATCATGGCCCAGCCAAGTGGACATGTAGTTTTGGGGACACAGTTCAATCCATGACAATGACCCCATATACAATAGAACAAAATGCTGCCGAGTCTGACACCATCCCACGGTCGGCTGAGATTGGATCAGTGTGATCCACAGGGTTTCACTGGTTGATGTTCAGAAGTAGGTCACCAGGCCTTTCTTCCTCATCTGTCTGAGTCTGGAAGCTCCTCTGAAACCTGTTCAGCATCAGAGCAACACACGAGGCTCCACTGACAGACAAGTAGTGGTGCCCCGGGTGGGACTTGAACCTGTGTCTTCCCCCTGGGAGACAGGAATTCTACCACCGAACCACCACTGCCCTCTACAGCAGCCCTAGGAAATGACTAGACTCTTGCTTTTATAGTAGGGCCTTAGGGGAAGTACATTCCCCTTCCCTGGTCATCTAGGGCTGGCAGGGAGGGCAGAAGGGAGACAGGGGAACATGAGGGGAAGTCTAGAGCTTGGCCTCCCCCACGTGCCTGTGGTCTCCTGGCCCAGTTGAAATCCCAGCCACAGGGACACTTGGTGGCCCCAGCCGGGGACAAGGAGTTGGGAGCACTTGCAAGCGCCAGCCTCCTCAGGCAGCTGAGTTGGTTTGCATCCTTTCAGCCTCTGAAGGCAGCGTTTGTCTCCTTTTTGTAAGCCTCCCAGTATGTGCCCTTGCTTTACAGAGAGAGATTGTTCGGGGCATGAAATGAAGCTCTTCCTGGCACCTCCTCTTTGATTCTTCTGGCTTCTTGCAACCGCAGGCTCTGGGATGAAGCTGCCTGTGTGTTTCTGAAACGTGCCCGAGCTGTGCCGACTACAGAAGCCCAAGCCAGGTGCTCCGATGCGCTTTTCTGCAGATGGGACAGAGGGGCCAGGCCAACGGGAGCATAACCCAGGGAACCCGATGCCTCTGAGGTCACTGAGGACCTGGCCTGGCTCAGAGCATCCACCCTGCCCCGTAAGTCATGTGAGCACCTGTCCCTTCCCACACAGGCTCATTCTTGAGTTCTGAATACGCAAATGCTGACTGGGCTTGTCACCGCTGAGGGATGAGTAGGGGTGAGTAGGGGTGAGGATCTCTGTCTGCCTGGAGGACAGGCACCTCCTTCTAACTCACCCTGAGGCACATCACAGACTCACAGCAGCCCCGACACCAGCACCCTGTACAGATATAATCCAACAAATGGGAAATATGGAGCCTGGAAGAGGGTGCTAAGCCCAGGACAAGGCAGATAGGACTGTTAAAGAGAACTATGGCAGCTTGGGTGTGAGGCAGTGACCACTTGAACCCTGGGCTTCACGAGGGACAGGTCCCAGCTGGCCATGGATCTGCAAGCCAGCAGGGCAATGGCAGGAGGGCCTGCCACAGCAAAAACAAAACCAAAAGCCCAGAAGTCTCTGGAAAACTTCAGAATGCACGGCTGGAAGGTTGGTTTCATTCTGGAGTTGTTGAAGACGAGGTTAGAACACACAGCCTGTGACCTGAGGGTCTGGTGTGCCACACCTGGACTGCTGAGCGGCACCTAGGCAGGGTCTCCCACAGGCAGCAGCACCGTGGAACCTTCTGTCACCTTCTCAGACACACTTGCTCTGCACTAGAATGTCACCTCCAGAAGGGAGCTTTGTCTGTGTTCTTTGTCTATGTCATGCATTAAATTGTATCCCCCCAAAATATGTATCAACTTGACTAGACCATGATTCCCAGCATTGTGTGACTGTCCTCCATTTTGTGACCTGATATAATTATCTTCCATTTTGTGATGTGTTGTAAACCCTAACCTCTGCCTGTGGTGAATGAGGAAGGATCAAACCCAAACCAAACCCACTGCTGTTGAGCTGACTTTGACTCATCCAACCCTCGAGGACAGAGTAGAACGTCCCCATAGGGTTTCCAAGGCTGTAATCTTTACAGAAACAGACTGCCTCATCTTTCTCCCACGGACCTGCTGGTGGGTTCTAACCTTTTGGTTAGCAGCTGCATGCTTTAACCACTGTACCACCAGAGCTCCTGAGGCAGGATTAGGTTATGTTAGAGAGGATCAGGTTATGTTTGTTATGTTAATGCAGGCATGATTAGGGTGGAATGTATCCTCCTTACTTAACTCACACCACCCTTGCTCAGGTCACAGCCCTGATTCCATGGAAGCGGGTTTTCCTGGGGTGTGGCCTGCATCACCTTTTATCCTTCAGTAGCACCAGGAAACGAGAGTCAGGAGCAGAATGTGTCCTTTGGACCCGAGGTCCCTGCACCGAGGACCTCCTAGACCTAGGGAAAGACTGATGCCGAGACACATGGAGACCTCCAAGGAATGCTGGGCCCACAGATGTTCAAAGGAGACAAGGCCCTCCCCCCAGAGCCAGAGCCAGAGAGAGAGTGCTGACACCCTGAATTTGGGCTTCTAGCCTCCTAAACTGTGAGAGAACCAATT